ATATATATATATATATATATATATATATATATATATATATACTATGTCTGGCTACATGTTTCGGCCTCACAGGGCCATCTTCACGGAACACATTTTGATGGAATCTACTGCACTGTGTCCGTTTTTGTCAATAGTAATCGTTGATGTACGTCATCATTCTCAATTTTTGTGTCTTGAGAATATATGTTCTCTTTTTATCTTCATATTACAGCTTCTTTGTGTCCCTTTGAGTGTGCCACTCCCAGTGTACCTTGTATTGATTTGGTGTTCTTGTACTTTGTAATTATGTTGGCATCATTCATTAAATGGCCCCATGTACTCACTGTGAAGGTACAAGGAAAGAAGATGCCCATTTGGGGTTATCGGCTAAGTATAAAGAAAAGCAGTTTTGTTAGTGGAATAAAGGTAAGGCAATGTGTCCTGCCTATAGAATAGATTAAGGACAGTATGGATTGCCAAGTTCACATATGCAGGTTACAAATTTAAGAAGTAAACATATGGGATCACAATTTTACACTTAGGATAAAAACAATGGTCATTTCTAAAATTCGGTGTTATTAGTTCTGCCCTATTAGACTTGTATGTAACAGTATACAGGTCAGCGGCCTCCGTAGTCTAGGGGTAACGTTCCCACCTTGTGACTCAAGGTACGCGGGTTCAAACCCGGCGGAGGTCGTGGAATTTTTAAGGGCGGAAAAATTCAGGGAGCAAGTCCTCCGGGAGGGACTTTAAGCCATGGGTCCCATGTCATAGCTTTATGGCACGTAAAAGAACCTCATGTCCCAATGGGACCACAGCCAAATTCAGAACATTTCTCGCCAAACAGTAGTCTCTAACGCCTCTGGTAGATGGGGGAAGCATCGAGATACTGCTGAGCCAGTAGAGGCCGAACTCGCTGGCTGAGTCAGGACTGATGGCATGCACCAGTACCAATAGGGAATAGAGACTGGTAGAATATCACAGGGGGATGCACAATGGAGCAATATCTGGTCTAAGTGCATGGGGAAACCCACCCTCTCCAATAACAACAACAACAGTATACAGGTCTGTGAGTTATAGAACTTTTGTAACTAAAGGTTGTGGACAATTGATTGTCAAATATCTAGTTTCTTGCCCCAGATATCCCACAGGTAAATGGTGGGGAGTGATACATTTCAGATTTTCAGTACTGAGCAAGGAAAAGCTTAAGAATATGTAAAGTAACAACCCTTAAGGTGACTGTATGGAAAATATGGTACATGCACATGTACATATGATAGATTTACTGCAGTGATGTGTTAATTATGATATTCTTACACATACACCTTCGGTTTTTCTGTACATGAAATGTTTTTCCTAACCGCTCTCCTGGGCAGTGTAGGAGATTATTCAATACAGCTAAAGGAAGAGACCTAGATTTCAGATTTATTTTCCCTTTTTGTAATGCATGTCAGACATTCAAACACTTATTGTATGAATCATGATGAACTGACTGAAGTTCTGTAAGAAATGAAATTGTGTCCATGTTTCGCTACTGAAGTTAATGAGAATGGGAGAGTAGCGCCGGAGTTATGGTCATGATGAACCAAGCAGTAACACTATGACTAAGAGAGAATGATGCTCCAGGAGAAATGTATAATTTTTAAAATTTAATCAATTTATAAAATGTCTGATATGAAATAAAAATTAAAATTAAAATGAGAGAACACTTTTTTTTTAAATATGTGCTGTGTATGTTACAGTGGAACTGCAATATAGCAAGTATGATTTATGATATGAACTTCATTATAACGAGAGAAGAAACACTACACAATCATTATGTGGAAAATCAATAAAACAAAGACATATTTTCTGGTATGTTCATCATAATGAGCAAATGCTGGCCAGCGTTAGTGTTCTCTGCAACATTTTGCATGAACTGTAATTGCAGGTTTGCTTCCCAAGCAATTTATAGCTGGTACTCCATAAAGGTACTGTTAAACCTCACCTGGCCCTTTTCCCCTTTCTTATGGCAGAAAAGACTGAATTCCAAAATCTGAGACCTGCATGGCCGAATAGAGATTTTTTCCAACCTGAGGCATATGTGCTTAACATACAAGGTGTTCCGATTCACTGTCAATTGACTGACAGTTGTAAGTGCAAGGAATTATGTAAGCATGAGAAAATCAGTACCTTCTTGATTCACGTAACATGAAAGATGTCAATAGTATTGAGTTATTCTATATTATATTCATATGAATGTGATGACTACTGAAAGCAGCATAGAAAATATTACAATTCTGATGCCTTTCCTGTATTATTGCTGGTAGGTAGCTTGAAGTCCATTCTCTTATGGGAAATGTGTATATTTGGCACGAAATGCGAATTTCACTTTTATCTATCTAACTCCATGGAGCTTAACTCTTCTTGAGAAGCAGCCAATTGTGCAGCTACTGAAGAATTTTCCAACATTTTATGGAACCCAAAGGTTTATTGCCATGTTCACAAGAGCCCTCCTCTTGTCCCTGTTCTGAGTCAGGTCAATCCAGGTCATACCACCCTATCTTATCTCTGTAATATCCATTTTAATGTTATCCACCCACCTATGCCTTGGTCTACCTAATGGTCTCTTTCCTTCTGACTTTTCCAGCAATATCCCATATGTATTCCTCCTCTCCCCATTCTTGCTACATGCCCTGCAACTTAAGAAGCTCCTCATTGCAGTTTTCTCCAACCACCTGTCACTTCATCCCTCTTTCTTCCAAAAGGTTCTGGAATGAATTCAGTTTCATCTTTCCTGAATCAAATTTTGATGTGTTACTGTCATTCCAGAATATCTGAATTGTGCCACATTTTCAAAGGATCCGATAGCTGTCTTTGTGTCATGATTTTGCTCTGCATTCTGGTGTAGACTCTGCATGTACTTCTAGACCAACCTCCTTACTAGTGTCAGTTAAAGTTTCTGTGTTTTTCTTAATGGTGTCTGTGTTATCTTGCAATAGATTCATTATTCAGTGTAAACCAGCAGCAGACGTATCCCACTTATTTTCACTCCCACCAGATTTTCCTGGACTTCCCTAATGGCATATTCTAAAGCAAGGTTGAAAAGTAATGGCAATAAAGCACCTTGATTTAGACGATTCTGGATAGGAAAATTATCGGACAAATGTTTACCTATACAGACTTCACTATAGATTTTATTTAAACACATTTTATTCGGCCTAACTATTTTCATGGCTACCCCAAACTATGAGAATACTGTGGCATGTAGACTCGTTGCTATGCAATGACTGCAAGATAAGCAAATATAAAACAGTTGTTACTGAGTAACTGCTTNATTTTGTTAACTTATATTATGAATGACGTGTCCAAATGTTACTATGTAGCAAAACGGATGAAAATAAAATACAATACAATACAATACAATACACAAACAAGAATGTTTGCACAGCAACAATTGGAAACAACAACAGTAGAACAGTGTTTTTTGTGCGGTCCGTTCTGTGTTATTTTATAAGCAGGACAGTTGGAGCAATGTGCTGAGTTGTGGGACAATCATCAGTTGGTAAAAACATGAGCATGGAAGCAGAGGATATTGTTGGACCTGTCACCAGGTAATGACTGGTGAAGATAGCAGACGGAGAAGACTTAGTACGAGCAGTAGTGAACAGCAAGAATTTGTGAATTAGCGATAGCGCTATAGTTACTCTTAGTTACAATTTGTAAATGTTTGTACAATGTATCGCCTGATGATGGCTTCATGAAAAGCCAAAACATGTAGTAAAATTGTATTTTAACCCCAAGAAATGTACAATTAACATACTAAAAGTGTGAACAAATAAATCATGTAGATTTGTTGTGTTGACAATTAAAACCAATATGTATGTAGATAGTAAGTTATGAAGTTATTGCACATTTCGGAAATATGTACTTCCTTCTGAATGATAAAAGAGGCCATACTTCATAACATACAAACTAAAAATATGCCCTTTTCTGTTGTTTTCAGTGCAACCAGCCCAGACAAACTCTCACGGGTGGGAAGTAATGCAGCTGGTAAAACTCTTGCCAAATCTCGGCTACTGCCAGCCATGCCAAATCCTAGATTTGATCTAAGTTTTCAACTTGATAACCCTGAAAATGTCCCTCGACAGGCAGTTTTAGTGTTTGAGATTCGCAGTTCTGGAAAGGAAGTGGTGGCAGCACGCAGGATTACACTTCAGGACATGCTTTCTGGTATGATTGTGGATATAATTTGACATTTTGTTTTTTTAACACATATAAGAGATTTAAACAACTTATGTTTGCCACTGAAGATGCTGTTTAGATTGTGAATCGGTTTATTTAACAACCTACAAGTTTTAACTACAAATACTTATAACACTGTTATGGGTTTACACACTTTACAAACCCTACACAATAGTCTCTTCACTCTATCTTCAGTATAACACATGTTCCATTCTTCTTCCCGCTACTGCTTCTATGTTTCAACTGACGTCTTCTTCACATTCACGATTCACTCGCTACAACTGAACTCGGTGACTGCTACAATTCAACTCGTAACTCAATACTCACTACTCTAGTAACTCTGGTTACACTGACGAATACTACTCGTTATGTAGCTTCCACACTGACAACACAGAAAACAGTTACATGATAGCTACCACTGTTGCATAACGTCGTGTTTACAGGCGTTGCTGGGGAATGCTGCCGAGAGTTGTTTATTGCTGTGTAGTAACCACGTGTCCACTGTTACATCACTGTGGGAAGTGCTATTACGTCACCACGGGGGAGGAGTGTTTACCGAGCATTAGATAATGGTGGAAGGGGTGGGGGTATATGATGTCACTCACAAGACTTTACGAGTTCACGTGACCCCTACTTCCTGTTGCACCGTCCACGTCACAATATATATATTTTGTATTCCCAGAATGTGCAGCATGTTTCACATTCACTCTGCAATTCATAATATAAAATTTTCAGCTTATTTGGCAAAGTTCCCAATCTGGTGCTTTAAAACAGATTACCTGCAAACAGGATTTGAAGTTCTCACAACAATTGTTATGAAAAGTTCTGAGTTCTGTCTTCTGGAATATAAATTTGAATTGGAGTCGAAATTTTCCTCCAAAATGTTGGTTGACTTTTAACTGGCATATTATCCAATAAGATATAAGTTTCCATATATGTTGAAAATTCTATAGATAGGAGCACAAACTTGTGGGTTGTATGTTTAAAATTAAGCTTACTGAGTTTTTACAACAGAATGGCTCTGATTTTCCCTGCTGTTTTATATTTATTTCTTCTAAATATACTCTGAAAAATGTAAATGCATCTTTTTGGAAAGGTTCATGTAGTGTTGAACAATCTTAGATTAAAAGAGATGAAGTTTGAACAAGCAAAAATAATTAAAAATCACCTTTGGTACATTTAGTTGGATTTCAATGGATTTGCAACAATGGTTATGAAGAGTACAGTCTCCTGGGATGTTACACTATGTAGACCAGTGCAAGTCCACTGACATCTCTCCAAAACATTGATTGATTTCTACTGGATATCACAGTGTTATATCCCATAAAAGAGTACTCTTGGTGTGGTAATATTGAACTAATGAGTACAAGGCCAATGGAATACTGACAAACCATGTTTTATACAATATGAGTTCTTTGAAGTTATACACAGATGCACACGGAGGATGGTATCATTTAAGCTTCTCAGTTATGAAATAAAATATGAAAAGTATGAGATGCTGTATGTGCAAAGCGAACATATTCTGTATGTTTTCAGTCACATATCTTCAGGCAATTGAATTATATTACCCTCTTTTATTACATTGTACAATGTTAAAATTCGAAATACTCATATATATATAAATAAAGAGAGATTATTGTGGCTTGAGTTGAAGACTGGACTTTCAGCTATGTGCAAACGTTGTGTTAATTGTTGCATTTCCTGCTCAACCAGCTGGGACATAAAAAATTGCAGTGACTTTGTACAATGAAGTTATGTGCATGCATTACAGGAGATGCTGCAATTGTTCCTGACTGACTCGGGTACTTTCTTCATGTCTTCTGAACAGATTCTGGCTTACACACTGAGGTTCTTTGAATATGCATCATCTTGTCTGTAAAATATAAACTTGTGTTTAAGTTTTCCATCATGAATTGGCTGAAAATATCAGTCACAGAAATCTGGTATAGCTACTGCATCATATGTTGTAAATAGCACACAGTTACAGTTTTTGTAAAGCCATAATTTCAGTAACTTAATAATGACTCTTATGCTCGGTGCTTGGAGAGGAGGAATGCATATAGGACAATGGTTGGAAAGCCAGAAGGAAAGAGATCCACTGGGAAGAGCAAGGTGTAGGTAGGTGAACAATATTAAAATGGATCTTAGAGAGATAGGATGGGATGGTATGGATTGGATCGATCTGGCTCAGGATAGGGACCAGCTCTTGTGAACATGTTAATGAACCATTGGGTTCCATAAAATGCTGGGAAATTCTGAGTAGCTTCACAATTTCCAGCTTCTCAAGAAGGGCTCAGCTCCATGAGTGAGTGAGTGAGTGATGCTCGGTGCTTGAGAGACTTCAGAGAAAAATCTTTGAACTGAACATACTTCCATCCAACCTTCGTTTGTTAGTACTTGACACAGATATGTAGATAAGAGGTTTGTTTAAAAAGTACCTGAAATTTGTCTATAATTCAGCAGTGCATCAGTTATGGTAGGTGTTGCTGAGTGACTTTGCAACCTGACCATTATGCAGGCCATTTTGTTCCAAGTAGATTGGAAGTTCGTTTAGTTTTGTGACTGAGTATGTTGTTGTCTTGTCACGTTGAGTTTGGAGTTGATAACGGAGCAAAGAATTTGTGTTAAATCCTATATCAAGGTAAGGAAAGCAGCTGCAGAAGACCGTAGCATGTTGTGTGAAGCTTGTGGTGACAATGCCTTGATACAAACGACAACCTACAGATGGTTCAAATGTTTTAAAAATGAAAGAAGCTCAATGGATGGCGATGAGCAATCTGGCTGACCTTCAGCTTCAAGATCTGAACATCTGATTACCCAGATGGAAACATTATCTGCGAAAATTGTCAACTGACTGTACGAGGATTTGCAGAAGAGGATGGAATATCCATTAGTTCTTGCCACACAATTTTAATGGAATATTTAGGAATGCATTGGGTCTCTGCAAAATTTGTGCCATGATTGTTGACCGATGATCAGAAACTGCAACAATTTTCCATCTGTGAAATTCTCCTCCAAAGAGCAAATAACTCTGAAAATCTTTTCATTATCAGTGTCAAGAAGTGGATTTACAGTTATTACATTCAAACCAAACAGTGATCTTCATACTGCAAGAGTCATGCTTCACTTGGCCCCAGGAAAGCACATCAGGTGCACTTGTGAGTGAAGACAAGGATGCTTGTTTTTCGATCATCCAGGAATTGTGCATTATGAATTCATTCCTGATGGTCAGATATTCAAGGTCTTTATCTGGTGGTTCTGAGACATCCACAGGATGTATGAAGAAAGTGACCTGAAATGTGGACTGTGGAAATTTGCCTCCACCATCACGATAATGCATCTGCTCACACAGCATTTTCAAGTGGACAGTTCTTGGCAAAACATTCATTTCATACCCTTGCATAACCCCCCTGTTCACTTGACCTCTCCCCTCCTGATTTTTTTGTATTCCCTAAATTCAAAATAACCCTTAAAGAAAGAGGATTTCAGACAGTGAAAGACATCATCATTAATGTGTTGAATGACTTGAAAGCGAATCAACAAACATCTTTCAAACAGGGTTTCCAAAAGTGGAAAACGATGCTGTGCAAGGGGGCTCTTTGATGGAAATAATATTTAATAAGCTCTAAGTAGAGAAAGATATTATTTATAGACAAATTTCTGGAACGTCTTGAGCACTCACTTCCTTTCTTCATTGACAAGATTGTGAATAGCTTCTCTATGGGGATCTTGAACTCCAGTAAAACATCATCAGAATTTCCTCTGATTCTTCCAAAAGAATTTCACATCATATAAGAGTCCTATAAAAGTAACTGATGCTATAATGTATATGTGTCAAAATAAAATCATCCACATATCCACACATGAATATTTACTCCTATCACCACTGTTGATTCATCAGGGTAAGTAGAAAATGATGCAGTGTCTGCTCATAGCAGAGAAACCATGCTTTGCTTAGCCCAAAATAATCTCCCTTATGTTGGAATACTTATGCATAATGATGGAAGTTATGCTTGAATATTTATACAGTCTGTATTTCTTTCAGCTGCTTCTCCAGACACAAATGAAGTTCATACTTGGTTGGCTCTTAATAATGGTGCATCATTAGAAGTTGAGATTGCTCACAGTAGGGAACTTAAAAAACAATCACGAAAAATATTTCGGAGTTGGTCTGTCCATCGCATTGGTAAGATTTAACATAGGCTCCATCGCAGGATTTAATGTCTGCTGTTTGCTGCATTGGAAGCAAATGTTTATAAAGAAAAGAGTAAGACTTACCTTAAAGGTGAATAGATTAATTCAAGAAGAAAGTAATATAAGCCGCTGTTAAGCTTAGATATTGAAGAATATGTGCCTAGAGTATGCATTTTCAGTTAATTTGTGTAGGACAGTTATGTAACCAGACTGTCCCTTCCCAGAGTACAGGTTGTGAACTCTTGAGTATCACACTATACATGACACTGCTTAGTCATAATTATTTTTCTTGTATTTTATTAAACATTCCACACATCTAAAATTGTTTCATGTGAAAGTTATAGATATTAAGATATCTGTTATTTACGTGTAATATGTTACATGATACTTTTGTCTATCAACAAGCAAGTGTTCCTTGTAACAGTGAGTTTATAACTCCCTTCAGTAATGAACTCTTGAAGTTAAGAATATATTCCAGTCAGCACCAGTAAATTACACTAGCAGTCACAGTAATTACGAATTCTTTCTTTAAATAATTTGAATCTGCTGTCAATTCCATGAGAAAGTTAATATGTGATAATGAAATAACAGCTTTCTTTTTCCTCCTAGAGTGATCTGTATGATTCTTTCAGTAACTAATGAATGTTTTTCCCTTTTTTCACATGAATATTTCAGATTGAAATGATTGGAAAATTATTTGTGTAAACGAGCTTTGATAGATTAGATTTATACCTATTCACAGTCATTAAAAATTATAGACAACAGTGAAAACCCTTTTTAGTATATATTTAGTTGAAGGTATCCCCTTATTTAGCATTTCATTTCTATGAGCCAAAGATAGTAAGCTCAGTGTTAAATTTCCTTTGTTTAATATTTTCCCCAGTTTAGTGTTCTGAAGTTAAGTAGATGTGATACATGTATTTGGAATGTATCAAGCAAGGGAACAACACAGTCAGCTATACTTTGTAATATGTATCTATCATAGTGATTCTGAACCCAGTTCAGTAGCATTTTGTGTTTAAAGAACAAGAAACAACCAGAACTGAAAATGCATAATTTTGATACTTGTGCAAACAAGTGATGTCTGTTCTTCTGTAAATAATGCAATCAACTAACCGAAGTGACATTCCAGAACTACACGCGCACGCACATGTGGACAGTAAAGAAATGTGTGGTACACCAATTTGGCAGAGGAAGGAGAATGTAGTATTTTGTATGTTTTTGGTTTCAAAAATGTTCTTGATACAAAAAAAAGAGTTTCCATTACAACACATCACTATGCAGCACAAGAACAAAATCTACTGTGTGTAGATGCATGTGCATGACCTATATATGGGCATGATATTTAACTCTTACACTGCTGTAGTCGACACATGTTGATCTCTGAAAAACATGGAGTCCTTGCTGCGATCGACAAAACTTGTATTGTGACTTTAGAGTTTTAAATTAAATATCAGGTTTCTTTGCACCAATCTTATTCAAAGTTGGCGGGTGTATATAGTCATCTATTGGGAACGTAATTTAATCATCGTTTATTTCAATGGCTGCATTCTTCTGCCCTCTAGCTTAAGAAATGTAAAAGGTTGCATCTGCACAGCGAAGCACCTGCTCCGTGGTCATGTGACACGGGTATTTCACAGGGCTAGTAAAAATGGCTTCATATAGTGTGCGGTGCTTTCTATAATAGTTTTAAATAAAGTTGTAAACCTTGGTTAATATGTGACATAGTGATAAGACTAGGATAGTGATTTATGTACTTTTTTGGCCATCTTGGACAACCCTGATTTAAATGGACTTTTCCCCTGTGAAAAATACTGAATAATTCAACATTTTTGCAACTTCTGATGCCTGTTCCCTGTGTGAGGTAAGATTAGTTACATTTTATCACAAATTTTCATACTTTGCACTTAAATTATTTATAAAATATTTATTCAAAAATAATTCAGGTCAGAGGGTACTGAGAGTTACTTAACATACTAGCAGTGAAAGGGTTAAGAAACTGAATGTTAAATTTAAACTTCCAGTTAATCTGAACAGGTTGTGTCAATGTCTTTCACTTGTTATGTAGTCACATTTAATCTCCTCAAACAAATAGTTTATAGGCACAACACAAATATAGGGTGCATAAATGAATTGGGTGATTTGGCAGCGGTGTTTTTTCTGGATTGGTTGGAGTGGGGAGGATGTCACTACAGCCACTCAGCAGCCTACTTCAAAGCATTTTAGTTTTAACACATACAAATACAGTGTTAAAATAAAAGCATTTGGATTTTCTCAGTTGGCTCACTGAAAACAGAAGTCTATTCCCCAAAAATAACATCTGTCCAATGACCACCATTCCACTGTAGGCACTCGGGTAAGTCTCTTCCTAAAATCACTCGTTAATCTTTGCAGCATCTCTATGGGAATTCATTCAACTTCTTCCTGAATTTGATGTTTCAACTCCTGAACTGTGTGGGGTGCTGGAGCTTTGAAAACTTGGGATTTCAGATATCCCCAAAGAAAAAAATCACATGTGGAAAGATCAGGTGATCTGGCTGGCCATATGGTGTCCCCATATCTGGAGATTAAATGCTTAGGAAACAGGCTATTCACAATGTAAGATTTGAGGCTTTCACGGCGGTGACTATGAAGAAAGCAGTCTTCTGGGATTTTGCACCGTGTATATGTGGTGTTAACACCACATATACACGGTGCAAAATCCCAGAAGACTGCTTTCTTCAGGCTATTCACAGCTGCCATGGAAGCTCATGCGGTGTGGCATGTAGCCCCATCTTGCTGGAAAAATGTTTCTTCCTTGACTGGAAGATGAGCAAGTGCAGGAGCTAAGAAGCTCTCCAATATGTGAACATAACATGGTCCAGTCACAGTTACAGCCCTTTACCACTTATCTTCAAAGAAGTATGGGCCAACAATTCCAAACAAAAATATAGCGCACCATAATGTGACTTTGGAACTGTGAAGTGGTTTCATAAATTTCTTTGGGGTCTGTGGCTGACGAATAGAGGAAATTTTGCTTGTTAACAAACCCCGATAAATGGAAATAAGCTTCATCGCTCATCAGTAAGTTATTAACGACATCTTGATTTTGATTAATTAATTGCAAAAAGGTCTGCAGCAATCAACTCTGTTTTCATAGTCATGTTTGTGTAATGCATGAGCAATTTGAGTTTTATGCGGGTAGAAGTGGAGATCTTTGTGCAAAATCCATCAAACGATGGTTTCAGACAGCCTGAGTGATGTAGCGCAGTGACACACAGACCAGAGTAGCCTATGTTCAATGGCTTCTCTCACTGCCGCTACATTCTTGGGTGTACGTGCTGTTTTTACGCTACCACCTTTCTTCTTTAGTGTAGAACCAGTAGCCTCAAAGTTTTGAACCCAAGTCTTGAGGGCACGGGCAGATGGAATAGCATGGTTGCGATGAATACTAAACTCTCTTTGAAATTCACGCTGAGCGATCACATGATTTCCCAGCAGAAGCATGTTGTGCTCCAGTCCACAGCTCCATTGCAACTAAACGCTTTGAAGTAGGCTTCTGGGTGGCAGTAGTGGCATCCTCCCCACTCCAACCAATCCAGGAAAAAATGTCACCAAATCACTCGATTCATTGACACACCTGTATAAAGAAATTGTTGACACTCTTAAGTATTCAGTTAACCGTGTTGTAAAATCAAAGTTGTGTCACCTGGTTTATCTACACCTTTCTATTTTTATATATCAATACAGCACTGTTAAACCTCTACACTGAATTTTTTTGTGAGTTATTGTATTACACTATTTGTATTCAGCGTATATAGCATTAAATGGTAGCATGGTTAATGAATGATGAACTGAAAAGGATGTGAAAGTAAGTGGTTGTACCCTGTCTGAAATTGTCACTCATATTACCACCACTAAATTCAGCATGCTTGGTTCCATACTGTGTTATATCTAATTGCTTAAAATTTTGTTGTATCTAACATAGTAATGTTAAACATCACCTTCCACACGTACCATACTAAAATATGGTATATAGAGCACAATCAGATCCTTGTTTCTGAGAGCATCAGGAGAGAATGAGTCGTGTGGCAGAAGGTGAACATATCAGTACCTGGCAGTGGATGTCTTCACCTTATCATATTTATTCCATTTTGTTTACCAAAATCCCTATATTATTTTTAATCAAAAATTTTGTAAAGTTCCTGAAAATTGTAATAAAGTTTTTATATGACTTCTGGGGGATTTTCTGTGAACTGGATTGGGTGGAGAAGTCTGGCTCTCCTCCTTTCAAGTTGGAATGCTGAATTTTACACATGAAACATTTTATGCATATTTTTTTATCTGTTTGTCATTTTTAGCATCATCTTTTCAGAAAAGTATGTTTTAAGAAAATAATGTGCCAATATGGCATACTATTTAATACTGCCAGAAAGATAGCCCTGAGTGTATCTATGTAAAAGAGATATTCTTGAGTAAGAAATGTAATTTTAAATGGTTGTACACATTCAGAACATTAGAGCTTCAGACCAATTTCACTAAAGTATGGGTAACATTCCACATACGTGAAATAAGGGAGTAGAAGAAACAGTAACCCTTTGTTCTTCCAACATTTAGTCTTGCCATATATATAGGAGCCCAAAAAATATACACCCAGTCAGGTTGTTTGAATGACAACCATTCCACCACCATTTTGTTTGACTCTCCTGCCATTTGGTACAGTGACTGGCATTCATGTGATTGCCACCATCTTTAGAGAGAATATCACGCTACACACTGTACAGTGCATTTTGGTTAAATTTTGAAAATGTCCATAGATAGCCTATATTAAATTGTGAATACAAGCAAATGTAGTATGTTGAAGAGTTCAGTCCCCTTCGCCACATTTGAAACATTTCCACTATCCCTACATCATATTATTCTCACGTTTACTGTAACCTTAATTAACACTATTCTTTACATCTTAATTTTATATTTCAAGCAGTGACTAGGACTTTCTAAGTACATGAGAACATAATAAAACATCATAATCCTGTGAAATTATGCTAGTAATAAGCAAATATTTCACAAAATTTCAGATTTGATGATAATCGTTATATATACATACATACACACACAGGTGTTGGCACTTTGGTATGATGAAGTCTTGTGTGGGGAAGGCACAGAAAGTATTGTCAGTCGGGTGGGACAAAGTCCCTTGTACTGCAGCCACTTCTGGCCTATGGTACCAGCCCCAGATGATAGGTGAGGG